AGCCCCAGCCCCACTACTATTTACCATGGCACTCATCCAGAAGCTGGGGGCACCAGGAAGGAGCAACACAAAGCCACCTGTGTGCCTGAACATGCGTATGCATCGGGGCATGTGTGTGCACACGTGTGACTGAGTCTCAAGCTCCGGGAGAATGCTCATCGCTATGGCTGGGACCAAGAAGAGCAGCACAGGGACTGGGCAGAGTGTGGCCCCCTAGGTGGGACTAGCTTGGCAGAGGGAACAGGCAGCCCATATCAGCAAGGCGAGCGCTGCGGGGCCTGGAGGCTCCTGTGGTCCCTGCCCGCTGTCATGCAGAGATCTTCGGGGAAGGCAGTGCTCAGAGCTCCCAAGGGCCAGTTTCCTGGGCAGGCAGCCTTGGGAGTCCCTCTGCATCAAGTCTAGAAGGCAGAGTTTGAGACCCACAGGGCCTCTTTCTGGGTGAGCAGAGGCAGGAGTTGGCTCAGGCAAGCAAGGAAAGGCTTGGTCAGTGAGCAGGGGAGACAATTAGGAGCAATTACCATCAAGAGAGGCCTCCCCTTGGTGGGAGTGCGGAGGCCACTGGGGAGGGGGAGGGTGAAAGCGCAGACTGATCTGGGGGAAGTGGGTCAAGAGTATCTCTGTCTTCACTGAAAGAGGTGCATGACAAGCCCCCCTCCCCCGCTTCGCTGCCCCCAGTCTCCAGCTAGGACCAAGTTCCCTTACCTCTAGGAGCAGAGGTCGGGATATGGAGTGGGAGGGAGGAGGGCCCTGTGCTCTGCATTCCTGAGATTCTCAAAGCAGAAGGAAAGCTGGAGAAAACTCTGAGCTGAGGAGTGGGGAGGAGGTCCCCAAACATGCCCCATCCCATCTGGGCACGCCATGCCTCCACCTCCCCTTTCCCAAGAAGGGTTTCACTGAGTTTTGAAGACCAGAGGGAGGGGAAGGGGCTTTGTGTCTGGAGAAGCTGAAGAAAAAGGGGTCCAAAGGCAAAGCAATAGGCTGGCGCCGCGGCTCAATAGCCTAATCCTCCGCCTGTGGCGCCGGCACACCGGGTTCTAGTCCCGGTCGATCCTCTTCCTGTCCAGCTCTCTGTTGTGGCCCGGAGTGCAGTGGAGGATGGCCCAAGTGCTTGGGCCCTGCACCCGCATGGGAGACCAGGAGAGGCACCTGGCTCCTGGCTCCGGATCAGCATGGTGCACTGGCTGCAGCACACCAGCTGCAGTGGCCATTGGAGGGTGAACCAAAGGAAAAGGAAGACCTTTCTCTCTCTCTCACTGTCCACTCTGCCTGAGAAAGAAAAAGGAGGGAAGGATGGATGGAAAGGAAGGAAAGGAAGGAAGGAAAACAAAGGCAGAGCAATCTCTGTACCCCACTCTGCTCTCCAGACCACGGTGACAAGTGCCAAGAAGGGGGGACCATGTGGCCCTCAGGAAGCAGGCCCGCCCCGGCTCACAACAGGGGAGTCCTCTGCCTTCACTCAGGAGCGCCCCGGAAGTCCAAGCCAGGAAGCAGAGACCCTTGGGCTTTGAAGGGCGGTCCTATGCTCCTGTGACTCTGGGAAAGTTAGTCTCAGTGCTGGCAGCACCTACGTCAGAGGCTTGGTGGGTTAAAGGTCTGAGGCCAGGCCTCAATAAACATTTACTGCAATCATTCATACTAACGGAAGATAGCTCTGCCAAGTGGACAATGAACCTGAAGCCAGAGACCCAGAGATAGGGTGCCCTGTAAACCACAGAAGCCAAGAACCTGGAGGTAGATGGAACCAGCCGAAGGGGAAGTGAGGCCGCACAGAGATGCTGAGAATAAGAGCAACTCCACAATTCTGTCAGCTGCTAAGGCACGCAGGACACACAATGAACACACACAGGGGAAACAAAACAGCAAGTCAAATGCCAGGAAGTACTGTGGTGAACAAGGAGTGCAGGGAAGCTACGGAGCCTGAGAACTGGGGCCGACCTCCCACCCCTGCCCAGCGGGAGCTTTGACGGCAGGGGCCCTGGCAGGCACTCCAGTCTGGCTCCCAGCGAGCCAGGGAGCACGGTGGGGCTGCTGCCCCCAGTCAGGCAATGCTCACTGGCCAGTGGTGGCAGACACAGGGAGGTAAGGAGAGGGCACCCTGCTCCCAGAGAGCAGGCACCCAGGGAGCAGGTGGGGGCTGTTCTGACGCCTGTCAGCCAGGCTCCCACTGACTGTCTGGTGATAGGCAGGGCCATTCAGACCCAGGCAGGCATGGGTTTCTGTAACCACATTCATGAATCGGATCTTCACTCTCCATTTGCTAATGCTACAAAAATCACAACTATGCCCCCCAAACCATTAGACTGCCCTAGACACCGTTTCTTGGTGTTTCACTCTCCTGAGAGTTCCAGACAGAGCCCGTGGGAAGCACTTCTTTGAGGACATGCTGCAGGGAGGGGTGGGAGCAGCACAGACAAGGGGCCAGCCGGCAGGGTGGGCTGGAGCCTGGCTGGCGGCTTTGGCCTCAGAAGGGCTCTCTGGCCAGCTTCACAGACAGGTTTGGGTTTTAAAAGTGCCAGAGAGCTGCGGATTTGCATGTTATTTACGTTCCAGGCTTCACTTCCAGGTATGTGGAATGAAATGAATGAATGAACAGTATTGAGACTCCTGGTTAAGGGGTGGGCTCAGAGATCCAGGCCACCTGGGGCACCCAATCACCGGCCTAACATGGATCAGGAGACACAGACACAGAGCAACACAGAGACAAATATCACCCAGTCCTTCTGACCAGGGAGTTTCCAATCAAAGCAAGGAGGCAAAATCCACAGAATTTATTTTAAATAAATCACCTTTTAATAAACCGGGGAGTCACAGAGACAGGCTAATAAAGGCGACACCGTCCCTGACTTATGTCCATCTCTGCTCTTCCAGCCTGCCCTCTGGCTTCCTTTGGAGCCAAGTGTGCTTGTCTGGACCCAGACGCCCGAGCTAGCTCAATGATGAGGTCCATAGACACAGCCCCCCCAAGCAGGGTGGCTTTCAGGCCGTTGCTCAAACCGTGCCCAAGCCCAAGGCCTACAGGTCCACTTGTAAGAGACCCCGTGCAAGCGCCACCTCAGGGGCTGCCTTGGAAGGCTAAGGCAGAGAGAAGACAAGGGACACAAACCACCACTGGAGATCCAAAGGGAGGAGAAAGCTGCATTTAGCATGATGTGTGGTTTGAAGACTTTCATGAGCCCTTGGAAGAGAGATGGAGAGCCCTGAAGGGCACGGTTTAGCTGAGGAAGGCAACCCAGCTGAGGGCAGAGCGGGCACTGGACTTGGCCCACAGAGGAGCCTGCGTGCAGCGTTCTCTCGCCCTGTTAGAAGGGACCTGCCTTGGTCTGCTCCTGACGCACAAGACAGATTGGGGTTCCTGATTCTGAGGGCGGCACGTGTTCAGACAAGAGCCTCAGGGAATGTGATCAGCAAGGGCTTCAGGATGGGACCTGGGTGTAGGCCAGCACCCTGGACCCTGCCACACCCTCTTCTCCTGGCACCTGAGCTCTGTGATGTGCAGGGAAGTGTCCAGAGGCCAAGGAAGTGACGGCCACTCCTCAGCCCAGAATGGAGGTTTGCAGCGAGGGACAGGACTCTGACCAATGCCTTAACTCTGAATCAAGACAACGTCAACATCAGCCTTAAAATTTACAGCCCAGAACCCAACTTGAGTCCAACAAGACCCTGAGTATGTGCACCAGGCCTGAAGCAGCCCGCACAGGAAACTGGGGGTGCACCTGCACACTGCTCCCAGCAGGACCTCCTATTCTCTCAGCACTTCCCAGCCTTGGAATGGGGTCGGCAACACCAGGGTTCAGCACAGCTCGAAGCAGGGCCCAGGCCCTGGCCCTGGGCTCCACGGAAGGTGCTAGGATGATGCCCTACCTCGAATTCTGGGACAAATTAGCAGCTGAGTGTGTGTGGGCAGGGGGGCATTGTGGTGTAGTGGGCTAAGTCTCCACCTGTGCTGACATCCCATACAGGTGCTGGTTCAGGTCCCAGCTGTTCCTCTTCCGATCCAGCTCTCTATTGGCCTGGTAAGCTGTGGAAGATGGCCCCAGTGCCTGGACTTCTGCATCCACGTGGGAGACCCGGAGGGAGGTCCTGGCTCCAATCAGCTCAGCTCCAGTTGTTGCTGCCATTTGGGGAGTGAACCAGCAGATGGAAGACCTTTCTTTTTGTCTCTCCTCTCTCTCTATGGCTCTCTCAAATAAATAAATAAAAGCTTTAAAAAAACAAAAACACGTGGTAGGTACAAGTGCAGCATGCCGCCCGTTTGGATCGACAATAGGTCAGGCAGCTAAGACTGCCCTTTCAGCTCTGAGGGGAGAAGCAGTGGCAGGACAAGCCACGTGCCAGCCGTCCCTCCTCTGGCAGGGCCACAGCAGAAGCACTGGGGCTCCTGCACAAACCCTCCCCTCCAGCACCACAGAAAACCAGCTGTTAACAGGCTGCGGTGGTTCTGTCCACCCCGGGCCCACTACACCCTGGGGTGGCACTGCTGCGGCAGCGAGTGGAAGCTGCTTGTCTGACCACAGGAGTGACAGCACATAGTGGCAGGAGGCACCTCACAGAGGAGTCAGCCCTAAACAGGACTCCTGGGACCAACAGGATGTGACCAGACACCGTGCCCGACTGTCCTGTCCCCAGGGACGGGGCGGCTGCCCAGACTGGCATCTACGCTTTTCACCCAAGTACTCCCTTTCTGGTGGAAGAAGACTATCGTGAGGGCCGAACACACAGGGGAGCGGAGGGTGGGACAAGAAAGCAGGAGCTACACGACAGCAGTGATGCCCGCAGCAGGGGATGCATCAAAGCCCACCCCAAACGAAGGACACGGCTCCCTGATCTGGTCCCACTCCCACTGCTGGAGCTCCGCATGTGGTTCCCACGGAGCACCAGGCCACAGCCTCTGCCTCAGACTGCCCCATCCCTACCTGGTCTGGGGTGGTGGTGATGTCAGGGTCACTCCCTTCTGCCCTGCACAGAACTGCAATGGAGAAAGGGGTCGAGTGCAGACCGGCTCAACAAGTCCTTATATATTTTCCAAAGTGCTTCTCTTGCATGTTTCATTTTCTGCTACACATGGCAATAAATACTTTTGCTTTGGTCTATACAAAAAGTCTCTGAGAAAGGTAAGACAGATGTCTAAATGGAAACAATAAATACAGAACTATCTTCTTTAGAATCTCCTCAGACAAAAGTGAGATAGCCTGAAAAATTCAGGTCTTTCGCTTTGCAGTACAAGTCCACATCACAGAGCCACCTTTCGATGATCACTTAAGTACAGGAAGTACCAGGAACTGGACAGTATTCCAGGAATCTTGCAGCAAGCCTGGAAGTCACAGCTTCCTAAAAGAGACTGTGAAAGGTCCCAGTAACTCATGTACAGAAAGCTATTTATTTCCTACAGAAAACATAAAGGGGGGGGGGGTGGGAAAGGAGGAGAGAAGTAGAGAAGGAAGACAGCGAGGAGGGGGTGGGGGAAGAAGCACACACACGCGGCCCCCAAGGCAGGCAGGTATGAGAAAAGCAGGACGTCAAGACACCCAGTCACTGGAGTGAAAACAGGTACCATTCAGTTAACAATGGAATATTTAAAAAAAATAGTTTTCTTTTCAAATTGTAACTTGTGGTAAAACATAGAAAAATGTACTAAACAAGCTTGGTATAAAACAGAGTAAAATCTTCCATAAGCCCAGGGAGAAAGCACAACGCTGCAAAGGGTGGGTCCAGGGAGACTTCATACAAAACTACCTATGACGATACAGAAAAGTAGAAAACGTTCCTGTCTGGGAATGAAGTACAAAATGACACTGGCACAGGGTCATCTCACTATCTAAGCCTGAGGAGCTCTCAGGGTGGGGGAGGTGCCAGGAAGAAAAAAGGAGCCGCCGCTCTAGGCCTCAGGTGCATCAGCCCAAACCCCACGCCGCCACAGCCTCGGCCCCTCAGCCGGAGCTCATCCGGGCCTCAAGGCGCCCTGTTGGGAAGTACACAGACACCCTACGCATAGGGCGGGAGCTGTGTGTGCTGAAATTTGGAAAACGGGAATCAATCTACAGGCTAAATGGTGAACACATTCAGTCTTTCTTTTTTAAAAAGCATATCCCTGTAAAATATATAAAATTCTCTGCGGTCAGAAATGCAGTTAAACTAAGTCGCCACAGACCAACCAGACCTGCATTTATCTAGTGTGGAATTTCGGGCTCAAGACTGAGGCCCTTCTTCTTGGCCAGGGGCAGGCGGCAGTGTGAGTGGCTTCCCCACTTGGCTGCTCTGCTGAGCTGCTCCTTGGTGGGTCTTCCCTGTTATCATGTTCCTTCCATATGCAAACCCTACTTTTAAGGAAAGGACTGCTTGGGACCTTGGGGGTCCGCCCAGGGCTCAAGTGCTGTGCCTCAGGGTGGGAGCAGCTACTGATGAGAAACAGCCTTGTCTCACACACGGGGCACTGAACAGCAACAGTCCTGGAGGAGGGCTCAGCACCCCAGAGTCCAGCTCACAGTCACATTCCTGACTACGCAGGGTGGAAGTTGTCCTCGTGTGTACGGATGCTCGTGCACGGATATGCTGGTGGTTCTTAGCCCTGCCTTCCGCCCATGCCCTTTCCTACATCCTAGTAAGGCCAGAGAGGAGTTTATAGGGAACCAAGATTCTTTCCAAGCTTTTCTCAGTGCCCGCATTAGGGGCCAAGTGAGGCTGGAGCCCTTAGAAAACAAGATGGCAGAACTGAAGACGTGAAGAGAGACGCTCTTCAGCTCAGTCAGGGATGTCCCTCACCCCTTTCACAGCACCAACATTTCTTTGCAAAAATAGTATCTGAGATACAAAAGGAAAGGCAGATGTGCTTGTGAACGCATCTCGCCAGGGCCTGGTCCGGAGCAAGGGTTCTACAAGAACAGAGGGCCGGGAGCAGCTGTTTCCAAGGTCTCTGGCCACAGACAGCAAAGATCTGGTCCCTCACAAGGTCGACGCCTGCCGACCAGGACAGTCTTCACAAGAGCTTCCTGTGCAGGATCTCCCAGGCCATCCGCTTCCGGAAGTACGGCATGTGTTGCTGTGGGGACAGAGACAGCCTTAGTTTCCACTCCCTTCACCTCCACCCAGGTCTGTGTCCCCGCGTTCCTCTCTTCCTCATGGCATTCCACTATCACCATCACAGGTGTGCTTTGGGTCTTTCACCTTTATCCATTTTTGATGACGTGTGGCTTTTTTCTTTCCATTGCTTTTTTCTATTGCTAGTCCTATTGCTGCAGCCTTGGAAGTCACACTGGACGTGGCCAGGAGTTCCCAGGCTATGCAAAACTTTTGAGTGGTGTCCAACAAGTCCTCTCTGTTGAACTTTTAAGAGGAGATGACCCTGAGGCCTAAAAGGAAAAGCTCACCTGCCAGGAGACGAGTTAAGGGAAACTCAAGACCGGCTCAGTCTGCCAAAGGGTTAATGTGAGAAAACCTGACAAAGCCACTAGTTCAGACACAGGGAGAGAGACAAGTGGAGAACACATCGGAACAAGCCTCCACCCACCTCAGTCCCTGAAGGACCACATGGACAGAAATGACCCCTGTGCACTAACGAGAGGGCTGGCCAGCGGCATCAAGGGAGCAGCATAACTGGACGAGGGTGCGGCCTGCTCTGAAACCTGAGGCTCACCCTGAACAGAGCAAAATGGAAGGAAACCTGCTCTGCTCCCAGCTCTGTTTCTGAGAGGCTCTGAAGAAGGCTGGGGGAGGCAGGCAGAGAAGAGGGCTCTGTACTCAGCTAGCATTCCTTAACTCCAACAGTGCGGGATGCACAGTCACCCGATGCAGCCCATCATTGCCTGTCTTCTGTGATGGGTACAGGCAAGGGAGCACCAGTCAGGGCAGAGTCCCCCGTGGAGAGCGTGTAAGCTGCCGGGGCTCAGTTCACCTGTGTGAAGTTGATTGGTCTGTCTTTGGTAATACAGTCAGCATATTTGCAGGCAAACATGCCACAGTCACTTCCATTCATCTGCTGTGGAATTTCCTGAAAGATCAACAACAAAGACAAAATCTGTCCAACTTTCCTTCTTAGATTAAATTAGGAACCAAAGGGTATACATTTTACAGGTTCCCCTATTCTGAGTGGCTGACCCTGATCTCCTGCTCAGGACAACAAATGCACACAGAAAACAAGACACTGGTGTTTCAGCCGGGTGCGTGCATTGTGTGTGATGAACCACAGACGCAGCTCAGATTTCCACGGTTCCCAGGGTGTAAAGACTGGTCCTTCCCCCACAGGTCCGTGTGTCAGCAAATGTTTCCCATAGGAGTGAAAAACGTGGCAGTACTGTTGTGCACTTATAAAAGGCAGTTCTACATCAGAAACTACCACCAGATTTCCCACAAAAGGCTCGATCAGGGCCAAACAACCAAGATGAAGTCAGGCTGGGAACTAAGAGAGAAGGGGACCCAGGAACCAAGAGGGGAAACCCTTTCCTCCCCCAAACGTAAGCTCTCCGGGGCTCCACCTCATCTGCATGAAATGTACCTGGCTTTTCTTGCTGAAGAGCTGCCAGCCGTTGGTGTCAAACTCTTTCCTTTTCTTGTCCATGCTTTCTTGCTTTAGGTATTGCCTAAGGTGTTGGAAGAGAATGAGACGAGCTGTGGGACATGCAGGACAGCTGCTCCCCAAGAACAGGCACAGTTCTGGAGAAGACGGGCCCTGACTGGCAAGCTCCCTCTGGAGCAGTGCTGCCTCTCCCAACTCCCACAGCTGACGCCCCCAGCCCACGGGGGACATGGCCCCAGACTATGCCACCCAGGCTCCTTCCACTTAGTGCCCCTTCTGAGGAAGAACCTCTGGCTCTTTGCCCTGGTTGTCTACGGTCTTTCAGGACTCAATCTAATAGACAGAAATCCATGTCTGCCAATGTGGAGGCACCTGCTGGCTCGGCCTGGCTCTCCTGTGTGAATCGCAATCCCAACTGCCACAACTCAGGAGAACGAAGAGCACAGAGCGTGCAGAGACTGCAGATAGCCTGCCTTTCTGGATCCGACCTCTTCCTCCCATCTAGGGTACACTGAAGAACGGAGCAGAGACTGGAGTGCTACAGTGAGCAGTGGGACGGGGCATATGGACTTTGCATTCTGGTTCGCAGCAGAGCCACTAGCTAGGATCTGGCAATGCACAGTCAGCGCTGTGGGTCTTGGTTTCTCCGTGTGAACATCAGGAGCTTGGATTCAAAGATTCCTAAGAAATGCTGGCATCTCCATCTACCCATCCACTCTGCATTTTAGTGCACCAGGCCAGCAACTGCCCCATGTTTCTGGCAATGTTACATTATGTTTACAGTTTACTTGGATTTAAAATATCCATTATTACTAAGTAGGAAGATTTTTTAATCACCTCACTGAAGAAACACACAGTTGGATTCGGTTGCCAGGAACAATCTAAGCCCTCAAAGGCCTACTTACAAGAGGGTCCTGCAGGCTTCCGTGTTTACCCCTCCCATCGAGTCGTAATACGTAATGCTCTTCTTTCTGAAGTCCACCACCTAGGAATAAGAGGAAATCTATTTAAACACTGCAAAAGATCGGTTTCTCAGCTGGACCCTGGAACCTTCTGCTAGACTTCCTGCAAAACCACAGCAAGTGCGGCTGGTGCTCCACTCACAAGGAAGAGCAAGGGCAGTATTTACACAGACCCACGGGTGGCCCCACTGCCACCCTGAAGCCTTTCTCTGGTGCTCCTGGCCTGCTCTTAAGAGAGGGAAGACGGACACCTTGAGACCCTCCCCCTTGCAGACTCAGAAAGCGGGCGAGGACTCTACCCGCAGAAATTTCCTTTCAGCTTTATCAAGTGTAATTCAAATCAGATCGTGAAATAACTTTTACACCTTTATTACCACATAAAGTATCTGCCACTCTTGACAAGAAGCACATCAACTGGCTCCTTAGCCAACCTGCTGCTGAATGCTGCTCTCGATGGTAGTGCTTCTCATACCAGTGCCAGTGCCGTGCTCCCCGACGATGCACACTGCTTCTAGATAGTATCCAAAGTACAGGATGTACTCACGGCAAGACACCAGTGCACTCCCAGGTGAATGGGCACCAGAAGAATGTCAACAGAAAACACATCCACTTTCTTTGTCCAGCGCTTCACTGCCTGATAACCGGCTGTTTTTAACTTAGTGAAGAAAAAAGTGTTGAATGCATGTACACTTGGAAATCCCTTCTCTTTACTTCGCTCCATCAGCATATTCATGTAGAAATTGATGACCTGTGGGAGGAAATGATACGTATTAGAAGACACACAGACTTTTCAAAATGGTTCCTATACATAAGGAAAAACCAGTTTCTTACATTATTGTTTCCTCATCAATCCCATTAAATCTTCAATACCCAAGAGTCTCCTTTCCCTATATCAAATTCTCACTAGAAGCAAGAGGCTCACGTAGTTGCTACAACAAGAGGAGAAAGAGCCGGTGTGTTTCCTAGGCCACTGGAGGCACAGACGGACAGATGCCAGCCAGAAGACCAGTACAAGAGTGAAAGTCGGGGGCCGGCACTGTGGCATAGCGGGTGAAGCTGCCGCCTGCAGTGCCGGAATCCCATATGGGCGCCAGTTTGAGTCCTGGCTGCTCCACTTCTGACCCAGCTCTCTGCTATGGCCTGGGAAAGCAGTAGAAGATGGCCCAAGTGTCTGGGCCCCTGCACCCACACTGGCAACCTGGAGGAAGCTCCTGGCTCCTGGCTTCAGATCGGTGCAGTTGCAGCCAACTGAAGAGTGAACCAGCAGATGGAAGACCTCTCTCTCTCTGCCTCTCCTCTCTCTGTGTAACTCTGATTTTCAAATAAAAATAAATAAATCTTTAAAAAAGAAAACAAAAAGACTGAGAGTCGGGAGGAAGGACTGTCCAGAGGGAAAAGGGAGGCAACGCGGGCAGCTGATCAAACACATTAGCTGCTACTTTAAGTTACAGGGACTGCGAGAGTGAGCGGAACACCAAAATGCTGAGCGCAGGTGGAGCTCATGCTAATTCAGCGCCCATCAAGAATTTAAACCTAAATGAGGGTCCCCTGCTTTCGCACAGGGACGAGAGCGCTGCTCCTTGACTGAAGACTGCCTTTTCAGCCTCAACAGCTGTGCTGCAAAGGCAAACTGCTTCTGTTTCAAGTAGAACCAATTCCTAGGACCAGCCACCAGCAGTAAACTGACAGCAGCTCAGCCAAATCACATGGCTGTGGGATAAGCAGGAGTCTGCCCTGTCCGTTCTCTCGTCGTCTTCATTTCTGCTGATGTGCTTTCAGATGCCAGACGGGCGAGGGCTGTGCCTTGCTGTTAACGAAACAATGCCTCTGCGGACAGTGACTCTTTGGTCTTTGGTTCCTTTTAGGCCCAGGACTCCCTGATACCAAACCCTGAAAGTTTCTGGGCCAGAATGTACTGCAAGCGGACTTTACGTGGCCAGCTGAGGCCAGGCCGGTGTCTGTCAACTCCCAGGAATGAATGGCCTGACTGATCCAGAGCTTGGAAATACGACTAAGAAAACAGGCACATTTTTCAGAATGCGCTTTGAGAAATGGGAAAAGGCCCCCATCCTTTGACAAATATTTACACACCAGGATGCCAGAGCAGTGAGCTACCGCCCAACAGTAGGCAACTGCATACTAGGTAGGCAGCAGGGAACTGCCAGGAACACTCCGGAGCCCGGTCTGGACCAGAGAAAGGGCCTACAGAGGAGGGTGCCCAGGCAGCCACAGGGAAACCACTCAGCCCAAGGCAAGGCTCTGAGGACTGAAGGAGGACACTGTTCTCCGGCTGCTGTGCTCACGAGGGCATACCAGCCCTACAGACCCAGAGGACCCAGATGTGGCAAATTCTCTAACACATGGTACCTGGTAGAAAACTGGAGCTTAGCTGTTTTAAGCAACAACGACGAGTCAAGGAACAGTGTCTCAACTCCAGGTTTGTTTCCATCCGAGTCTCCCTGAGACCACAGTGTGGAAGGTGCCTCCAGGTCTGCAAAGGTACCAGGCACACAGGAGGGCCCAGCTGGTACGCACGGGTTTCCAGAGCATAAACCACACTCCCCAGTAAGCAGGGGCCAACTGACTCCCCTGGTTTCCCAACCATCCCATAACGAGCCATGTTATGCTATACCCTCAACCAAAGAGGAAGTGAGGATACAGGGGATCTGCCAGACCTATGAGCCAAACCTTCCCAAGGGGCAGACAGATTACAACCTAACAGGCCCAATGACTAGAGGGAGGGGAAGGGAGTCGTCAGGCAGAATTAAGGCCAGCCACAGACGGACCTCCATGCACGAAAGCCATGCAGGTGAACGAGTGCCTCCCCCTCCAGGGCAATCCGAATCCTGAAGGACACCGACAGTATCGTGTATGCGTGAATGTTCTGGTTTTCATCAGGACGGAGCTCCAGAAACCAAATGACAGCTGGCTGGACTTCTACGACCTGAGTTTCTTTCTCTTCACATTCAGGGTAGGCAATGAAGCTGGAGACCGGAATGGCAGAGCAGCAACAGAGCTGGTTCAGGGTGAGCAGAGACCAGCACAGCAGAGCCGCAACAGAGCTGGTGCTTCCTGGGAGCACCTCCCTTCACTGCTGTCCTCGCCAAGTGTTCTCCACTGACAGCAACAATTTCCTCCACAGCCAACGGGCTAATCCCTGCTTGAGGGAGACCTGCCATCTTTCTCAGTTCTTGCGTCCCAGCAGGAGGGAGTATGGTGGCCTCAATGTTCCATCCCTAACTTAGCTAAGAATGTGTCATCTGACTGATACCTGGGGCAGAAGTCACACCCAAGTCTCTCGCCTCAGTTTTTCAGCTACTGCTGTGTTCGAAAGAGCAAAATGCCTGTCGTTCAGCCAAAACACAATCACACCACAAAAATCAGCTATGGCCGAGTACAAAGAGTGCCCCATGCCATCTCACAGGCGAAGGCTGAAGATGGAGGAAAAGGAAAGGAAGCTGTGGTGGTCACAGCACTTGCCAATGCTCTGTGAAGACAAGGGTCGCCCTCTTCTGCACACAGACTCTCTGAGCTATAGCAGACCCTAAGTCCCCTTTGAACAGGGGCTCAGAGCCGACGGGCCCATGACATCACTGCTCGTTTCTCTTCCTGGAGCCCACACTTGCCCTGTGCGCTGCTGCAGCTCCTGCTGCCTTCACAGCCCGGGTCATGAGCGTCTGCTTGTCTATGCAGTTCTGTTCGGGGTTGGCAGGGTTGTTTATAGTGTCCCGTTCCTTTGTGATTTTATTTGAAGCACTGCCAGGCTGAAGCTGAAAAAAACTCTTTAAAGAAAAGCTTACAATGTTTCAAACTAAGGATTCAACCCTCTTCCTGTGTGTGACCACGAGGACACAGATGACCATCTCGCCAACCCTGAAGTCTTGATTTTCAACCCTTCCCATGTTTATATTTTGAACCCTTCTATTTGGCTTGAAACAAGTTTTCTGGCAGTCACAAGAATGACAGTACTTCTGAGCAGAGACCAGAGCAACTTGTAAGGCACCACAGTCATTTTTCTAATTTTATTTCTCTAGACTGTCATCTTGACCTTCCCATCCTGACTCTTCAACTCCAGTTATCCTTGTCAATCACAAAGCCCAAAGATGAACCAAGCAGCAGCACCTGTGTGGCAGTGCAGAAGGCTGTTCTCATGACGGCTGACCTAACAGTAGCAAAGCCAAGAGGGCAGGCGTCCCTCACAGTGCACATGTACACAGGTGCTTCTCAATGCGAGGGTTAGTAAATTACTAGAACAACTGCTAAAGCCAGAGAGAGAGGACAGGCAGCACTCATTTTCATAGTCATTTATGGAGACTACTCTTCTCCATGCGACCTTGCACAAATACTGGACTGGCTCTAAGAACCTCTTCAAAGACGTAAACTCTAACAGTGTGGGAGTCAAAGAATCCTTTCCGTCTAACCCACCACACCCGCTAACCAACCTTCCTCACATGGCCTGATTTTTTCCCTTCTGCATTCAGTTTTGATTCCCTAAGGAAAACTCCTTCCAGTGCTGGGTTCGTCTAGCTGGATTAGCTGTTCCTTGTCTTTACTGAGTGCATGCTGACTTAACTCCGCCTCAGAACAATTCTGAGGCTATGACCCATGTTCACACAACTGCACTCCACAGCCAGGCTGCCAGACACAAAGCACCTACCCTGTTCCCAGCTGACTCTGGTCCTTCCTTACCAGTTCCTGCTCCTTGCCCACTTGTCCCCATTCTCCCGTCGACAGACCAGCCTAGTGATGCAGGACCTCCTTCCAGGGATGACGCTTACCAGGCAGGCAAACACCCACCCAGGCAGCCAGGCCTCTGTCTGAACTCCTCTTCCCCGTCCCTCACCCCTTACATTTCCTGATTTTTTTTTTTTTCCTCATGCTACTTCCCTAGTAAGTAAACTGAAAAATACAGTATCCTAGTGGCCTATTGCTTTTCTGATCTGAAAACTTGTAATAATTAATATGGATTTGCAAAGTAAAACCAAGAGAGGTCTGTTGGCTATTTTTCTGACTCATCCACATAAATCAGCAGCAAGGACCTGGAGGGAAGGGACAGAAACAGGGAATACTGCACAGTCACCATGCTTCTCCAAATGGCACTGGGCACAGTGGGCTCTGTCAGGGAGAAAGAGTTCCCAGCCTCAACGTCTGAGTGCGTGGATTCACCTACCTGTTTTCGTCTTTCATGGCTTACTGCTCTTCTGTCTATTTCTTCTATCAATGACTGAGAGCAAAACCATGCAACCTAATTTACGCCATTTGCCTACTTCTCCTTTCAGCTGGCTCAGTTTTTGCTTCTCACATTCTGAAGCTGTTTGTTACTGAGCTTTAAGTATTCAGGCTGCCAAGCCTTCCTGATGAACTGACCCTGGCATCATTACATGCTCCCTTGATCACTGGCAATATTCCTCACTCTGAAACCCACTTTGTATAGTATTTAGTCACTTTTCTCTTTCTTTTGCTTACTGTTTGGAGAGTATATTTCCCATTCTTTCATTTTCATAAATTTTTCTGGGTCTTTACATTCAAACTGGGTACTTGTAGACAGCCTTTTTATTTTTTTTTTTTAAACTTAATCTGATCACCTCTGCCTTCTACCTGGATGTTTTCCCTACTCTGTCCAACATGTAAGCACCAGCCAAGGTGACTGTTGAGCACCTAACTATGCCTGACTCACCTCAGGTGTGCTCCACGTGTAAAATGCACACATTTCAAAGAAATCTCTAATGAGATTTTAATATTGATCAT